CTTATAAGTCACTTATAAGTGACAGCTAAGTCCAACTTAAACTTAGCTTACTTAGCTGTGACTTAGCTAAGTCAGACCTAAGTACTTACTAGCTCCTATTGGCTTAGCTAACTTAAAGCTAAGTCGAAGCTAACCCTTATAGAGGTTAGTAGACTTAAAACTAAGGTTATAAGTAGGTTAGGACTACTTATAACCTAGGTTATAAGTCGAAGCTAACCAACCGCCGGGCAAGTAGCGAATTGGATCGGGGAAATTCCAGGTCCAGTGCAGTGTCCAGTGCATGGAACCAGCGGATGGTTCCATCCAAAGATGTCGGCACCTTTGGGTCGATCCAGGGGTTGGAGCCTCAGTTCGTACCTCGGAAAATGGGTACAAGTAATAAGTACCGGACCTTGTTTTATAGGGTCGAGTCATGTCCCATTTTCCAAGTTACTGGCTGGAGGGTCCGGAGGTCTGCAGGTAGTTTTTGGCTGGTTTGCAATCGGCAGAGGTATCACTGATCAATAACAGAGAGCACCCTTTCACAATCTTTCACACGACATGTCGTTTGAAAACTGTCCCCCTAGACATGTGTTCTGCGTGGTGTATCTGCTTTTTTGTTTCTGATTTGGGCTTTTCTGGCTCGGGGTCTTGTGCGGTTCTTTCGCTTTTCACACTCCCCACGCGGCCACGGGGCCGCCAAACGGCTCTCAACCCCGACCCTTTCGCGGCCACAGGCGGAAACAACGAGGGCATCACGGACGGGCTCCGTATCGGTGGCCTCCCGGAGGCCGGTGGAGGAGAAGACGATGACCGGTTGGAGTTTAGAAGAGCCTGGCAAATCGCTGGGTGGAGATCACTGGAAGTAAACTATAAGTTTGTTTTGGTTGTTTGGTTGGAAGCCAAGTTTTCTATGCCCAGACACTCCATGAGAGTGCCATATATGCCTACATTGACCTCCAAAACCACCCCAATGTAAATATGGCACTCCCATGGAGTGTTTGGGATGTCTTGTTTTGATTGAACTCCCTACTAGGCTTAGGGTCTTTTTGGCTCGTTGGCTCGTCCAAAGGCTTATGCGGTGTTGGCCAAAACGGTGCTCTAGCTTCAGAGATTCTTGTTTGATGTCGGGATAACTCCTTTCAAAGGTTGAACCCCCTAAGGTTCGGTCGTGCAGCTACGCGCGGTAGCAGATGGGTAGCTATATAGACTCTTCAAGGTACCTTTGTAGCAAGATGCTTGTTTTGGGTACCTGGTTGACATACCTTTGTTTGTTTTGAATTCCAATTGACCTAGTGATGAGAGGCATTGACATCAACAATCATGGAATCCTGGAAGTGGACTATGGGTCCTGGGAAGACGATGTTCCTCCACACACTGGAGGTTGTCCACTTCCATGATTGTCGCAGGGAGGGTAGAGCACTGATGGAGGGGCATCCTGAGCTAGACGCCTCCAATGCCTCCAACCAGCCCGGTTGCCGCAGGGCGAGAAGCAAGTCAGCAGCTGTTGCTGAGGTCAATTCGGGCTGGGTGCACGTGGTGCAGTCCGAGGAGCATGCAGTTGTCCCTAGACTTCACCCGGCATGTTCTTCACCTTTCACCCCAGACTCAGAAGACTTTCAGTAAGTACTACCACAGTAAGTTTGCTGCGTTTCAGTCAGCTCCTGGGTGTCATGCAGATGACGGACCCCGGACCCGGCGACATCGGACATCGTATACAGAGACCAATGGGACGGACCTGAACAACAAAACAGGTACGACTGGGGAGGAGATGATCCTGTTTTGCTGGGTGTCTGGGGGATTTCCAATCAACATACCCAGACAGGATGCTCAAGGTATACCTCAAACATCCTAAAACCATCTCCAGCAAAAAGCATCAGTTCTTGTGTTTGGGGGAGTTTGGGGTCACCCAAACCAGCACACCGGTAACGACCCGGAAAGATCGTCCGCGTTTGGCGGTCAGCGTGTTTTGGCTCCCGCTGTCAGTGGACCCTGTGACCGGTAGAGTCTGTCAGATGAGGGATGCAAGGACACGGCGAACGGCCTAGCTCCTGCTGCTGATGAAAGAGTTTGATACTGGCACCAATTGCAACGACACTGGCACCAATATTTGTGCAGTCGATACCAATAGCTTGGGGGTGTCCTACGGTTGACGGACGAAATCCTGCATCAATAAAAGAACACATGTGGTCCTCCAATAGTACAGACCCCAGTGCCCCCCAACTCAATGTTGTCACTGTCTCATGTTTGTTATGTGTGATGCAGGATTTTGGTCATTCAACTTTTTTCCTGTTTGATGTATTTCCTCAACTCAATGCTAAAGAGGGAGCGCGAGGGTATACATGAGTTTGTTCGTCCAGTGGTGCAGGGTTTTGTCCATCAACTGTATTGCCTGCAACAGTCGGTAAACAGTTATCAGTTATCACTATTTTAGAGGAAGGCCTTTACTAACCATCATCGTCCTCTTCTACAGGGATTAGGACACGCCCAAGGTATAAGCCTAATTCATAGAACCAGTCAGAAAGTATGATTCCGTGCTTTGGGGCCTTTGGGGCCACAAAGAAAGACCAGCTGATATATTCAGAAGTACTTAGCCTGACCAGAATCTGAATGGATGTGAACACGTCGAGTGTCTCGATGGTGCACAGAGACGTCAAACCACCGTAGCTTTTCTGGTCCGAACTGTGCGGAAGAGACGCACGGAGGAGATGGATCCAGTCTGAGCGGCGAAGCTGTCGGTGAAGCTGGATGGGTTCTCCCTCCAGTGACCTACTAACCAATAACTGTATAAGCTCGCCAAACTAGGTGTCCTTATAGGTCCAGTCTGACCCAGGTCCAAACCTGTTCCTTAACCTCTTTATAGGAGTGTTTTTGTACGATCAACTGATCAACTCCAGCAAAATGAACTCTTTGACTTGCAGGGTATCTAAGTTCCCCTTGGGGCTCTAGACTCGTCCCAAGTCAAGGAGTGACAGCTGTCACCAGCTGTGAATTGTTTTTGGTTGAGTTGAGACTGTTATTTTGTTTTTCCGGCGGCTCAGGGCGATATGATCATCCCTCCAAAGACGCACCATTTTCAGCCAAGGCTCCCGGAAACAGTCCTTTTCGGGTCCCTGGTCATTTTAGAGTTGATTTTCGTGTTATGGTTATAATGTGTTTATCAGTTTTTTTGTATATATATATATTCAAAATATACATGTTTTATTTGGGTTCGCCCGGCATATGAGCTCTTGGCTTTGGTGTCCAATGTTCATTTTCCCTCAGCGAGTTTCTTTTCCTAACCTATGGCGCTATGAGGTTTCTCTAAAGGGCGCATCGCTTGCAGAAGAGGATAGTCTCTCAGCTTACATCAGTTGATATGTTTTTTTGACACCTGCCTCGCTCAGCTCCCACCTCACTGTGCCCTTGATCCGCGTGCTAACTGCTTGGACAAAGCAGCGGAAAATGCAGACAATCCCAGCTGAGAGAAAGACCGCGAAATGCATGTTGGCGCTTGGATGGAATGGATGTACTAAGCTTGGGGTACTCACCAAGTGTACATGGTTACTCGCATACTGGCATATTGGGAAGTTCTGCAGAGTCTTATGTCATTTTATGTCCATGTGTTTGATGTACTGCACTGATTTATGTTTTCAATGCAATCCTCAGCATATGAAGCAGGTTTGCTCTTGATCTACATGGTTCTTTTGGTTGGTGCGTGGTGTTTTGGTGTGTGTTTCTCTGAGCGTCAGTGGGCCGATCAGCATCCATTTCGGTGAACGATCGACTGGACTGATCCTTCATCGCCCGGACCTGCACCCCCCATTGCTGGTCATGTCCGAAAAAGCCGGCGTACTCTTAGACCCTTATATAGTCCTTTGGGTTCAAAAGGATTTATTTCCAAAACCACTAAAGGTTCCACCCTTAGCAAAGGATCTCTGGACAGTGAAGGGAAGATATGGTCATGTTCCATGATCAAGGGTACTTGAAGTCGGGTCCAGGTAGTTGTCAGGACCTCCTGTATCACAACAAAGAAAGATGGCCGGACAATCAACTTGCGTCCTACCTCAGAAATCGGGTACTAAGATGGTACAAGCTCTCCTTTAAAAACCCGCGGTTTTTGGTGGGTTCTCTTTTTGTCCGTCCAACAAGAGCCACTGGCACTTTCATCAAAGGAGGATGGCAGGATCCTACACGAGAGGTATATAGACCGACTGTTGCTGAGAGGGACGGCCCAATTCCTCTCCTCCACTGGGACCCAGAACTCTTTTCTTCAATACATTTTTCCAACAAGTGGGTGGAGCAATCAATACATTCTTCCAGGAAGTGGGACCCAGAACAGTGGAACAGCTAAGGCTTTCAGGAACAGGCCGTCAGCATTTTGAGGAACTGGGACACGACTGGGGAGGACTGAAACCCCACCTGGAACGGGCATCCTTCGACGCGGAAGAAGCCCGACTGGTAGGTCTGGCCGGTCGGAGCGCTCCATGGGCAGGAGCCAATGATGAATCATATATGAAGGGCCTTTCACCCAGAACCTGTTTCTTCATCTGCCCAGCCTTAGGAAATGAATCCAGGGGGTACCTCACCCCGCCCCCTACCTAATGCAGGGAAGATGTTTTTGTTCAACGATGTCATGCCAGTGTCAGTCCAAAACAATGCGAAACGAACATGGTGTTTTTTGATTGAGCACCATGTGAGTCCAGCCCGCACGAATTCCTTCTCCGGGTCTCCCCTTGTGGTCATGTCAGTCACTAGATCTTCGGTGACGACCTGCGCCAGTCGCTGGGTTCGCCCCGCCGCAGCTTCTGAAGATTCAGTGAATGTTCTGCGGGGAACCTGCAGCATCCTGCATCCATTCACCATCCAAAACAGGGCTTTGCAGCTCCGCAGATCTAAGAAGAAACTTAGATTTCGCAAATGGGGACGCTACACTACACCACTATAGAGACCAACCGTTGAGAACCGTTTCCCCTTAGAACCTGCAAGATACTGATGTCACCTCACGCTCGCATGGTCAAACTCCCCTCCCAAGGTCTTCAGTGTGTGTGTGTGTGTGTGTTCCTTTTCTTTCTGCTGCTTTTCCTGCCTGTTGCCTGTTTGGCAAAGAAGACATGGCTGGCCGCCTAAGTGCTCTCCTGGTTCCCTTGCTCTCAGCCGAAGCGGCGGCTGTGGACGTCGGCCCGGCTGGCTCAGCCGAATGTCCGTGTGTCAACCAGAGCAGCGACTTGGTGATTTGTCCAACAGAGGTTAAAGGACCTTATAGACTATCCCATAGGTACCTCTGGTTACGGGTCCTACATCAGGTCACTTAACCTCTGTAGGGTTGACCCCGGACATCCCCTTCTCAGGGTCAATCCTTTGGCGATCATCACAATCAATCCTGCCTGGACCTTCCTTTTGAGGTGCCCTGGCTGGAGATCCATCAGTAGTTTTTTGGGCTTTCATTGGTGACCCCTTGGACGGTGATGGTATATAACATAGTCCATTGCAGTGCTTCCTCTTCCTGTCAGTATGCATTCCCTACCACTCCTCATGACCTACCACTCCCCCATGGTGCCCGTGTTGAGTGGTGTTTTCCTGCTTGGTTTTCCCGTCCGGAACCAGCGCATCCAAGGCGAGGTCTATGGTGCCTTTGCCGCACCGTCGAGGTGGATGACCTCGCCCAACTTGCCATCCCCACAAAGGCCCCAGAGAGCAAGCAGATCATCGCAGGATCTCCTTACCCAGATCTATCCCCATGGGACCTGGAATATCTATACCAAGAGAGGTTGAACAGCCCATCCTAAGCCCATCCCATATGTACCACTACAGTACTACAGGGTCCTAGTTCTGGTCTCTCAACCTCTCTTATATATGCCGATCCATTGACCCCCCCCTGGCACCACCACCTCACGGCCGATCCCACGGCAGGTTTGTTGGTTGGTCATGCATGGATGGTTTGGATTCGACTGTAATCATATAGACCCCCCAAATCGATATGAAAAGTACCTACAGAGGTGGACAGTGACCGTAAATGGGACCCTACTGGTGTACCGAACTGGGATGGTAACTCCTAGGGTCCTTCAACCTTTGCTGGTAAATCCTCATGCAATGGTTCATGTGTTGGACACCCTTTCTATCTTTTTCCTCGTTGGGGACCACATTTGGGACCGTTAGTTTGCTATCTACCTGGACCCTCCAACGGGTGCCCTGTCTGGAAGCCAATAGGTACCTTCTCAGGTACGGTGAGGAAGGAGACTATTTATGTAGGCTTGGAGGGCCCAGTCGTACCTCCTGAGAAGGTATGTGGATCCCTAGGGTAGATAATATACAATCTGAACTTGACAATCGAGGCATATTGAGGCGATTTGACACCTGAGGGAAAGTGCTGGCCGCTCAGACCATGACAATGCATGGATATAGTATGATAGTATGATATATTAATTATTACCATAGACATTGGTGTGGATTGACAGACATCAACAGCAATGAGATCCGCATGCATGGCCAGTGATTGCGGATCTCCTTCGCCACTCCACCCTTTGCGGCCAGAGATGTCCCAAAATCAACGTGCTTCCACTCTCCGAGGGTGGCAACCAGCAGAGATTGAAGAACCCTATATTAGGTACTCCTGTAGGGTACTAGTTCAGGTCACTTAACCTCTGTAGGAAAGGGTGGGGAAAAAGGTGAATGATGTGTCCAGGGCCCCCTGTCGGCCTGTCTCATGGCCTCTTAGAGTCTTAGAGGTGATTCGTGGTGTCCATTCACCACCGGCCGTGTCTTTCCCAAACATGACTAATGGGACTGCCATCACGTGATGGGTGATGTTCCTGGTTCGTGAATCCTTGGGGATGGGTAATACCCAGACACTCCATGTATGCCATAGCCATATATATGCTGGTTTTGGGGGGTCAATGTAGGCATATATGGCAGTTCCATGGAGTGTCTGGGTTTTATTTGTTTTGGAGTAAGGCGTCAAGATTTGGAATTCACTGCTTTTTCTTTTCCCAGGCTTTGGCTGCGCCAGTCATGATGTGAATGGCACCGAGGAGTATCTTGGGTTTTGCTTGAGTACTGATTAAGGTTGCTGTTTATTTCCTCAAACTGGGTGAATCCTTGAACCTGGGGACTCGTTTTAGCTTTTGTTTTCGCCCCGGCTTCCAAACAAGCAAATGCAAGGTATCCAGAATGCGGCGATGCAAGCACTGCGCCGGGCTGGTGCGGCGACCAGTGGCATGGCACATTGCATAGTCACCCTAAAACACAGAAGGCACCCATGGAGGCGGCACCTCTTGTGGCTCTCAAACTTAAAGTAACTAGTTGAGTGATCCGGATGTGGTCCTAGGTTTTGCATATTTTGCATATTTTGCATCTTTTGCATGGCTTCTCAATGTTCAATATACACAGGACAAAACAACACGTTCCATCAACACGTTCCATCGTTCCATGGAAGTGAACCAATCCCAGACACGACCTGTCTGGGACTGGCAGTCCTTGACCGAGAAACGGCCAGGGGTGGTTGAAACAACGGGGTCTTTCTGGGGCGGCAGTCCGAACTGGCAGTCCCAGACAGGGTCGTGTCTGGAAATATTAAACTTGGAGGTTTCTTTAAGGCGAGTTCTCTCTGCAAACAGGTGTTGCCACCCACTGGAGCACGTGAGTCGGGCCGACGGCCCAGGTGGTGCTACGTGAAGCTGTCCGAGTGTCAGGTCACCGTTGAGCTGCTCGGAGACGAGTGTGGGTGCCTTTTTGATCCTTTTTGGAAAGAAATGAAGAAGAGCGGATTCTTGTACCACCACCTTTCACATATCTTTTTATACAGCGTGTGCGTCATTGAGGGTCCATTTTAGCTAATTAGACACGACGGTTTAAGTCAACATTCCTCGAACAGCAGAGTACCCTAGAAAATGGGACATAGAGGACATAAGATGATGTCACTGTAGTGACATATCCTATTGTAGAAGGGTGCTTGGATGCTTCAGGTACATGCCCTGAAAAAGCAACAACCAGAACTTGACACAACATGGCTCAGGTTTCGTAGGTGTTTGTGTGTGTGTTTATTTTAAGGTGGGGGTTGACAAGTTGAGGTCTAAACTGAACCCTCCAAGTACCTCTGAAAATTGGTAATATATATATAATCGAATATAATATACATATACCAGGACCTTCCAACAGGTGGTTTTTGGACACCTCCTAAACCTCTAAGAGGCTATTTACAGACACCTCTTGGAAGGTCCTGGTCTATATATATATATACGTTGTTTGTTTTTTTAATGTACGGTCATGTCCTTTTTTCAATCGTCCAAGGTACGAACGAAGTCTTGTCCAGGTAGATAGAAAACATGCCAGATCCTAACGCAACTCAGAGGTGTTCGGTCTGTGGGCATGATGGAAGGCCTTGAACTTTCCGGTCCAAATACCCACTTTGGGACCGGGATATGAAGATCTCCCTACCAGGACCCGCACGTGACGTCTTATTTTGACGTCGAGTTCGTTTCCCCTTTCAAGACCTGACACATGCATGTGTCATGCATGAGATTGGTGGTTTTGCGTAGGGGATGCCTATTTTCCCAAGCTGGGTGAATCCCCGAACCTGGGTGTAGGTTTTTGTGGTTTCCCGGCTTCCGAAAAAGCAAATCCAAGTTCTGGTCGACCATGGGCACAAGGTTCGAGAACTGTTGTAAGATATCGGAGATCTAAAGAAGAGTCTTTACCTGAAGACATGCACCGATTGACTCGCGCACCGGCATAGCCAAAAATACAACTGAGCAAAGAGCTTAGGGCAGTTTTAAGATATTGATTGATACCCCAGCAACATACATATATAGCTGTCATATGGTATCATTCTTCTGAATCGCCCGTGCACAAGAGCGGATGGTCCTAGTATTGATCCGCTATATATAGATCGAGTTTTTGAACCCAAAATTCTACAGTGGTTTCAGATGGCACAGACCCCAAGATATTATGGAGGTCCGTTTTTCCACCACCGTGTTCTTTTTGTTCAACTTGAACAATTGTGTTCTTTCAAAAGTTCAAACGTAGCATGTAGTATCGAGGCTTGTCTGTCCAGCTGGCCGTGTGAGGCCCAGTGAAAACTATCCTGGCCTGGGCTGGTCCTACACCACTTGCGGATACCGGGATTCCTTTTCCCGCACCAACATCACAGAGACTTTGCGAGAACGGAGCACGATCAGATCGATGACCCAGTTGATGACCCCCCCGAAATCATGCTTACGTGGAGTGAAAGCCTTCTTCTTGGTGTTCGGAAAATGACCTGGTCATCCATTTGGGCGACACCGTCCACGTAACCATATGACTATTTCAGGGAGTGTCAAGAGGAGATTGGTGTTGCTGTTTGTCTTGGCCCAGTGGGGGGTTCATAGTCAGACGATTCTCACATGAAATCCTCCAATTGGCTCAGATCCAGCAACTCCACCGGTAACCTGGGCCCCCGGAATCCCCGAATTCAAACCACGGTTTGGGGAGAAGAAATCACATGAAATCACTATTACAGCTGTGCAGGGACCGAAAACCATGTTGGATACAAGTTCTTGCGCATCCAGGGTGAAACCGCTTAAACCTATACCTGGACCTTCAAGGGGTGTCCTGTTTGGAGTTTGGAGATCCCTATGTAGAAAAAGGAGCTTCCAGCCAGCTGACCCCGAACGGAGCTATTAGTAGAGGTTTAGCCATATGATGCTGTGGGCCAAGCATGCCAAGCGATCAAAAGGAACGAACACCGGACGGTTTCGGTGCGATCCAAGAAGTGAGTTGCCTGGAATGAGTGCAGCGAGTGCATGAGAGAGGCCTAACATATGGGGACACTTACCGTGGATCCATAAGGGATTCATACAATATACGGTTATAAGTTATATATATATATATTATATTATTACGTATATTAGTAGACCCTCCAAGTACCTCAGAAAAGAAGTACACCCAAAGACTTGTTTTCTAGGGTCATGTCACATGTCCCAAAACTCCCAGGGTTTCCGATGCTTGCGTCGTCGATGCTCGCGCGCACTCCGTCCGTCCGCGTGTCGTTGGATCCTTCCGCGGGTCAGGAGTCCCTGCGAGGAAAGACCTTGCGGGTGCAGTTCTTGGGCAATACCGGCGGATGGAAGGGCAACTATTGTGTCTTGGTGGGCGAGACGGGACGGGGGAGCCAGGTCTGGGGCGGGACGGAGGGTGTCCATGACTGATCCTGCACGGAAAGGAGGGATTGGAGACGAGCTTCCAAGCCCAGAGTTCAAGCGTCCATGCCAGTCTTGTGCTTCAGGGGAGCTCAGTGGCAAGGGTACTATTTTGATCATATTTTGACATCCATTGTGTTCAACGTTGTTGCTTTACTTAAGCCTCAAAATCTCAACATCACATTGTGTGGTCCCGTGACCTTTATCTTTATTACCTCACAACCACTGTCCTCATAGTCATTTTCCAGTGGATAGATGCACTAGACATGCGGCTGCTATTAGAATCTCGCAACAAATCGTCGCCTCACAACACGTTGTATACCATGCAGGATTGTTGGTCAAAACTCTTTCCCCAGCCTCCCCATGGACCCTCAAACACCAGAGCTTTTCCCAGCCCCCCCATCGAACGAGAGGCTTCGACCCCCTGCATTTCGAGGTCGGGTCCATTCGGATCCACTTCGAATCCTTAGAGCTCTTGACGTCCACCCCCCCTCCTTCGAACTTGAAACCAGGCACCGGAAATTTGGGCGAAGCCTGCGTGGACCAACGTGGCTTTGGGCCCGTGCAGAACTTCTTCGATCTGGTGGTGGGCTCTGCAGGGATCAAGGTGGGGTGTCGCCAACAGAAAAGAAGCAACAAAAACAACATATACCAGGAGTCGCAAAGGGGTGGTCTTTAGTCCCTATGTGAGTGGATAATGGGGACCCCTATCCTCCAATAGGCACCCCCTTTGTGACTGCTGGTACACACACATCAAAAGATTGTGTTGCTTGCTGTCAAAAGCAGCGCAACAAAAAGGTGATCTCCGAGCATGCTCAGAAGCAGGTGATTTTACAATGTTCACAGGTCGTGGCGCGGGACACTTGTCTTGATGCAGTGGATGCATCATGGCGTTTGTTGCATTTCTGGCACAGTAAGGTCAGGTGCATCATGCATTCGCTCTTTCCTGAGTCTAATGACCAACAAGCCTTGCAGATATCTACCAGGACCCTCCTGTCGGGGTGTCTATTCAAAGCCCCTTATAGCTGTTTTTGTTCGGAGTCTCCATTTACCACCCCGACTCGACTGGGGTCCTGGTACCCTCCCAGACATCATCATGGAAGTGGACAACGGTTTTGTTTGGATGGCCTTTTCCACTTTCGCTTCGCTTCGCTTCGCTGCGCTTCATCTCTTCAGGTCGGAACCGGTCTGACGCGAAGCAACGAACACGGTTCTGGTGCCAACACAAAGCAGTCACCACGTCGTCGCAGTCACCTTTTCCGGTCGCCAACTCCAAGAGCGAGCGACCGACCTCCGCCAAGGAGTTGAGCCAAGGTCGCCGTGTTTATTTTTCCATCGGAGTGATGTTTTGAACAGTAGGTCCAACCGCTACAGTAGGTGTTGAATAAACAAGAGCACCAAGCAACCATCAGAGTTGCAACGAAGACGAAGACCCGACTTCGTTCGTAGCCCACAAAATGGAACATGACCTCTTGTAATCATTTCCTGAGGTATGAACGCTTCCACTCCAGGAATTCTAGACCCCTGTCGATCACTGTATCAATCCCTGGAACCCTGGGAACTCTGCAGGTGCAGCAGATTTCAGAGCTCCCAGAGGCCGTCTATGCGCAGAGAGCCGCTTGGCGGGCGACGCGACGTGTCGAAGACAGAGACACATGGGCGGCCAGATGTGCCGTTCGAAGGGGATCAGGAAGGGAAGATCCTGTTCTACACATCTCCATTGGACACCCCATGCTCCTGGTATGCATATTATATAATGTTTGTTGTTCAATTCAAACACCGTGATGCCTGACTTGCAAGCCAGGATGCGTAGTTGGGTACATGGCTTTTCGATCTTTTTCCCCACCTGCCAGGTGAGGGTTGTTAGATTTTATCACAGTTGTTCTTCCTCCTCCTCCTTCCTTCCTCCTTCCTCCTTGCTTCCTTTCTCGCCAACCTCCTCGCCAATCTTCATCGCCGATCTTCATCGCCAATCTTCATCGCCAATCTTCTTCGCCAATTTGCTTCGCCAATCTGCTTCGCCGATCTTGTCTGGCAAGCTCCGGATCGCAGTGTGCACCCCTGGACCTCAACCGCAAGGATCCGATCGCA